GGGAGTGCGGGCGAGGAGACTCTATAAGTAAGGAGAAGTTTGCGCACTGCTCACAGCTGCCCGAGGAAGGGAAGGCGCCAGGAAGGTGAGCCTCTTGGACTTTGGGGAGCTGGAACTAAGGCAAGAGGGGAAGCAGTTGCCTTTTAGCCTGTAATACAAGCTGGGACCGGGTTTAAAGCATCACTTAAGGCAGAATTAAAGTATCAGGGAATCGGGAGGGAGGCAGGGGAAGGAGGGCTCAGGACTAACGCAGTGTGCTCTCATTTCGAATTAGGAAAGGCAGCCCCCCAAGATTCTGGGTGGGCTGCTCCGCTTGGCCCGCGGACCTTCCCGGGTTGGAGAGGTGCGCTCCGTCCGCGCCTCGCCCTGCGCCTGACATCGGGGGTCACCACCTGAGAACTCCCTTCGCTTCTGCTGAGCTGTGCCCCAGCCGCCCGGCGCAACCATGCGAAGTAAGGAGGGTCTGGGAATGAGCTTTGGGGTGTTCCCAGGGATGGTTGACAGTGGGGGTGTCCGAGGTCCCTTGATTTGTTCTGTTTTTATTGCAAAAGTGCTGTCCGATTGTGGTGTTTGAGGTTCTGATGTGGGTTCAGCTTAGTCCCATCTGCTCCACTTTATTTGCCCTTGATTAAAGGAAAGAGTCCTGGGAAGGTGCTATGACTTACAGGTTTCCTATTGGAAAGCCCTCTGATTTTTTCGGTGACTTTTATTATGTTGTTAATATGATTTTCCCCTCAAAAGTTTTATTCTCCAACTTATTGGGTATGGAAATGATGGGGCTGAAAGTGGTGGGTTTTCCCCGAAAGGTGTTTATGGACTAAGAAACAGGTGATGTGGGCATCTGTGTGGTGCGTCATGGCTGTTCTGGACATTGGGAATGACTGCAGTGGTGAATGGGGCTGCTTGTTAAGTCATGTTTTACGGAGAGTTATTTTCCAACAATCATTTATGCATAGCAGCCATTCTTTACACCTATTAGGGAAGTATGTTGTGTGCAGAGTTTCCAAAGGATACTCTTTTTTTCACGATGCTCTTTCCAAGCTGAGGGGGGAAAGGCATCAAGGAAAGCTCTAACAAATTAATTCTTCCTCCGAAAACATACATCTCTCTCCAGGCCCAAGAAAGGCCGATCGAAGTCAAAAATCAACAGTCCAGTTAGATTTTTAACCCATTATTCAGGCTTTATTTGGAAAATCTATCAGGTTCTAGCTGAAACCTTTAACCTAATAGTGTATGGTCTAGGCAAGACTGGAAGACGGGTCTTCAGGAGACCCTCACGATGTGGTGGCTGTGGTTAACCTGAACCGAGTCATCTATTCAAGGCTATTTGTTGAAATTATTGGGTGATTGAAAGTGAAATGTTCAAAATAAACCAAAGTGTGACCGAAACTAATCTTTAAAGAGCAGAGTGTCCATATTTTAGGGTGTCTTAGGTGATAAGAGGAAGTAGATATTTTGTGCACTTGGACCACTTTGGCTTACCATTAAAGACAATGTAGGACTGAATGCACTGAGTGGCGTGGAATTGATCAAATATCATTTGTAATAGCCTTTTGCAAAAGGACTCAGCTTTAAAATTCAAAGTTGCTGGTTCTCTTCACTAGCATTATGAGAGGAACCAAGGTGATTAGATTTGCAAAACATCTTTGCCGTTTAAGTCAGTATTCTCGGAGGGCACTGATTTCTACTCAATATTTTAACAAAGCTCAAAACATCCTTTATCCGGGATGTGTTTGAGTTCTATGCTTCTGATCTACAGTTAATTTTAGGAACTCTAGCTGCAAGAATAATATCCAGTCATATTATAAAGTGTTCTAAGATTATTTATTGACTGCCCCGGCATACTGAGCATGGTAAACATGAAATCCTTATAACTTACTCATAAGAACACATAAATAATCTCAGAGTTGTATTGTTTTTATGATGCTTGGAGTTGAAGAAAATTAGCTGATATAAATTCGACCTCTGTTTCCCATTTTCTTGTGTTTTTCGGAACTCCAGGTAATGAATGATGATGGGTAGGTAAAGATAGAATGTGCTTCAATTAGTTAAAGAACTGGGGCTAAGTCTTAGCATAGGAGTGCCGGTGCAACTCTGCTCTTGGTGGATGTCTCGGACTCTTTCAATGTTGACATGAATGAAGATATTATCTATTGTTGGCTTTTATTAGAGTAAAAACAAAATGGAAATAGGAGACCGGTGATATTTTCACTGATGACCTAAACCAGTGTTCTCAACTCGGGCTGCAAATTTAAATCAATGGAAGAACTTAAAAAATAAATGGATGCCCAGACCCTACCCTACCTGAAACAAATTAAATCAGAATATCTGATGAAAGGGTCTTTATTTTGATATTTTAAAAAATATGATTGTAACGTGCAGCCATAATTGGGAACCACCGGCCGAGATGGCTCCCATCGGATTTGGTAGAGCCTGTTAATGTCGGAGGGTCTTAGTGAAAATAAATGCTGTGTGTTCTACTGTCTGCCTGATTTTTTTTTTCTTTAAAAAAGTGTATACCTTGATTTCCCAATTAGAAGAAAGATATTTTTTGTCCTTTTTGGGTAGATGTTTAAATCATAACAGCTTCTGGGGGGGAAAAATTTTTTTCTCCAGAAAACACTCTATTGAATTTGAAGCTTATTTGACTGTCTAGAAAATGCTTCAGTAAATTAAGTGTACCTTTAGGAGATGTTGGAAATAATGCTTTATGAAACACGGAACCTGACCTTATTTTGCTAAGACCTGCATGGTGTGTAATGTGTAAATTTGTACCCTTTTGAAAGGAGAGAAGAAGAAAAACAGTACCCTTCTCCTTGGCAGACCAACTAACAGATCCCGGGTGCCGACTATGTTCTAGAATTTTCACATAAATTATTTATTTAAAGCTTACAATAGCTTTGTGAGGTACCAGCTATTATTCTGATTTATGTATGAGGAAATTAAGGACCCAGTAGGTTAATGGACTTGCTCAAAGCCACAAACCAAGTACATTTAATATGTGTTTGAATCCAAGTCTTCTTGTTCTAAGTTCAATATTATAATAAAATATATACTTATTATACATATTTTATGTATTTAAATTTAAGGACAGAATTTTTCCCCCCGAAAAAAGCAGTATTGGTTAAGAGCACAGATTCTGATGTGGCTCTGCTTGGGTTTTATGCCCGACTCCATCTCTTTCTAAGAAGCTGTGGGATTGGGGGCAAATAGGGTAACCTCTCCTTAATTTCCTTTGTAAAATGAGGATTTTCTAATGAGAATTAAACGTGTTAATATTTGTAAATCATTTTCGGTAGGTGCCTGGTGCATAGTAGGTTCTATGTAAGTGTTATATTTATTAAAATGTCATTTATTCAAAAGTGTTTTTGATTGTTTATTATATGCCAAGAATTGCATTACGCCTGATGTTACATAGAAAAATAAGACATGTCCCAATCTTCAAGGATTTTGTGTCTAATTAAGACTGACCAATATACAAATAATCATTCCACTCAGGAATGAGATTTTCTTCCACTTTAATTATAATTAAAAGCATTATTTTCTGTGACAACTGTGTGCTTTTCAATATTAATATGATCTTCCCGAAGTCCCTATGATGAGAATTATAAAACCAATTGATAATAACATGTTGTCACAATGGTATTAACTTCTTTTCAATTCTACTATCAAAATACACAAAATAATATTCAAATATATTTCTGACTTTACTTTAGGGGTTTAGAAAACTGGTAACGTGGAAAGGTTTTGGGTCTTTAAAATTTTATTTTCAAGGTGAAGAGTTTCAGGGGGAAGAATTGGTAGAAAATGTCATCAGAATCTATTCCTAAATGCAGTTTTCTTGAATTGGTTACTGAAAAGAATGTGGTCTGGAACATATATTTTTTTTTAATAGAAAGCAAATTAATTTTAGGGTAGGAAGTGTCCATCGAGGAGTACAATTAAAGGGCTCTAATCAGGACTGGCTTGACAAAACCCTACCTCATAGGAGCTGGCTCGGCTTCTTCCACTGGGCTGCTGCTCGCTATTGCACGATACCTCCAGGGTACCTGTGTCACCTGAGGTATAAGATTCTGTCTGTTGAAATGAAAAGCCTCTCATTATTAAAAAAAAAAAAAAAATAGCATAGGGATTGCTATTCTTTGTAAAAGAATAACACAGACATCCTAAAACTATGGAGCTATTTTCCAATGAAATAAAGGACTTGGCTCGGTGAAACATGTTCTGTTTTTGTAGTTACTATTTATCCATTCCATTTCATTAAAATCTCTGCTTGCAAATGTCTGTCTTTCTTTTCCCTTATCAAATCTCAAACCTATTCCCAGTTTTTTCCCCATGGGTGCCTCATCTTTTCACTGCCACCCTTCCCGTTTAAGCTTTTATTACCTTTTACAAAATACTTAAATATTCTCCAAATACCTGGTCACCTTCAGACTCTGCGCTGCACTTGGTGTTACGCAACATGGGCAGCCATGCTTTCCAAGCTCCCATTTTTGTCACCCTCTGTTCACCTTTATTCGGTGATGGCCGGGCAACCAAAGACTTAGAACAAGCCTTCAGCCTGGCGTTGAAGATTTTCGTGATATAATTCCCATTTCATCTTTCTCATCTAAGCCAGATAGCAAACCTCAACAGCTAATTCCAGGCCTGAAGCCTCAGTGACGCAGCAGAAATTGACTCCAGGTCCAGAGCCCATCCTTCACTTTCAACCTTTATGCCCTGGCCTGTCAACCTCAGTTTGTGTCGCATTGCCTCCACATTGGGGCGTGTGACAGGGGAGAGGGCTTCCCATTAGTTGCGGGACTGCTTTGCTTTAGAATTGGTTTCTTCCCAAAACCCTAGGCCCAGTCCCTGCCTTACATTTGCAGAAGTCAGCGTTTCACATCTTCCCTTCCTCCACCCTCCAGAATGTGTTATTCACCATTCACCCACAACACAGCCAACAGATTTCCATTCTTACGGCTTTGCTCATATTTTAAAACTCAATAAATATTTACTAAATGCCTATTATGTCCTAGTCGGGGGATATTGTGACAAATTACAGCTCCTGGTTTCGTGAGGACTGGAGGAGACAGACAGACCCATAGACCATGACACACCCGTGTGGTAAGTGCCGCAGCAGAGAAATGCCACCGGTTCTCTGGAAGCAGGAACTGCAAGGAGCTGGGCATCATCTGGAAAGCTTTTCGGTGAAGGTGACCCTAAAGGGGACACGATTCAGCGTTGAACAGACAAGACGGAATGAGGAGGGGGAGAGACGAAGTGTGCCACAGGCAGGACACCAGTCTGTAAAAAGCCCTGGAGACTTGAAACAACAAGTCTGATTTGGGGATGTCCCAGATATTTTAGTTGGTCCTGAGGTCTACAGGGCACCCTTTACAAAGGGTTTGCAAGCCTGCAGGGCTGAAGGGTTTGCATTTTATCATGAAGACAATGGGGGTCCTGGAAAGAG